CGGCAAGCTCGGTGGTTAGAGACATTGAGCCAATTTGACCTAGATTTCAAATACCTACGCGGTCAGGACAATACGGTGGCAGACGCACTCTCGCGAAGGGAGGAGGTTGGAGTGTGTGAAGTACGGGCAAGATTAAGGGATGAGGAACTCCATCAGATTCGAGAAGGTTATAAGCAAGATAAATTCTGCATCAAACTCCGCAAGGTTTTACCATTAAGAGATGATTGCATTCTCAAGGAGGATCTCATGTATCTGGATGGCCGTTTGGTAGTTCCTTTACACGGAAACCTACGGAGGGATTTCATTGACCAAGCTCATACGGCATTAGGACATTTAGGAACACTGAAAACTCTTACACGACTCAGAGCAACGTTCTTCTGGCCAAATATGACTAAAGAAGTCGAGAAACAATTGCAATCTTGTGATTCCTGTCAACGCAACAAGGCTCGGACTGCGGCGACGACGGGAAAGCTACAAAGCACAGCGGTACCAAGTCAGCCAATGCAATCAATTGGTATTGACTTCATTGGTCCTTTTCCAAAGATCGCAGGTTATGATATGATTCTTTCTTGCACATGCAGACTCACCGGCTTTGTTCGTCTCATTCCCGCATCACAAAAGGACACGGCAGAGCGTTCGGCCAGTAGATTGTTCACAGCGTGGTCATCCATCTTTGGGCTACCAGAATCAATCATCGGCGACCGTGATAAGGCTTGGACATCTCGTTTTTGGCAAAGATTGCATGAACTGTTAGGAGTTCAAGTTCAGCTGACGACCTCTTATCACCCACAAGCAGACGGGCGCAGTGAACGCTCGAACAAAACTATTGGTCAGATTTTACGACACTTTGCTGCCGAGAAGCACGGAAAATGGTACCATTCCTTACCATCCGCGGAGTTCGCTATAAATTCAGCTGTGAACGTGTCAACGGGTGTTTCCCCTTTTCATTTTGTCTACGGTCGAATACCGCGCTTATTCCCAATTCAGAGTACGACTGACAATGATAATGAAGATGTCAGACATTGGATCGAGCGGCGCGAGACCGAGTGGGCAACTTGGCGCGACCGGTTGTGGCACAGCCGAGTAGAGCAAGCATTACACTACAATCAGCGGAGACGGGAAGGAGTACCATTTAGCATAGGTGACTGGGTTTTAGTAGATAGTGCGGATCGCCAGCAAGTTGTAGGAGGAAGAGGACGTCCAACAGGGAAGCTACGTGCGCGCTATGATGGTCCTTACAAAGTTCTGGAAGTTTTGAATGGTGGACGTGATTTTAAATTAGGCCTATCATCAAATGACTCAACACACTCGACTTTTCACATTTCAAAGCTTAAACTTTATCATGGCGTTAGCGGAGCGGAGGAGACCATTGCGGCCGTCAACACGGTGTCGTTGCGTCGGAAAACAACCCCGACAGGTCCTATTGAGGAGCCCTTGGGGCATGCTACGAAACGTAACGAGGGGGTGTGTATCAATTTTGATACATTAGCACCCCCGCAATGTGAGTGTGATCGTGCTTTCTTTTCCTTTTATCACGACGCAGTTGGCAAGCTTTGTTTCTTCCAAAATAACAGAGCCTTCCTTGCGAATCAAGACGTACAACGACAAGCGGTGGATTGCAAGGGATTTTGCAGTCACGACAGTGACTTTGTCACGGCCGGAACCAACCTCATAGGATCAGGATTGGGATGCCTTTGAGGCAAGCTAGGACGTTGACAAGGGGGTGTGCATTATTATGCGTTAGCACCCCCGCAAGTGAGTTTGATAAATTTTTTCAAAGAAACTTTTAAGTGAAGCGGCTGGCAAGCAAAATCCTCTCCCAAATAACAGGGTCTTCAACGAAATACGATTATCCAATATTTGGTTCTGTTGAACACGCTTCAAGGTAAATTAAATTACCTCAAGACTCAAGATTCAAGACCCGGCAAATAATCGATTCATGTTTTAATTTTCACAATTCAAATGAGAGTTTATAATGAATATAATGTATTCCTTCAAGATTATCTTTGCACAATTTTCTTTCTGTTTTTTTCCTTTTCTTTTCTTATGAGCGCTATGTCACTTTATTCAATTCAATTCATCACTTTATTCTATTTTCTCAGGGACGAGTTATGGTCACATTTTAACGGGGCGAGTTATGCCACTTTTGCGCTTTCTTTTAAATGTTTTGGGTATGGTCCTGATGGTTAGACTTTTATTTTTAGGAGGGAAGGGTGTAAGGAGTACACTTGTACGCGAGCAGTCATGGCTTTAGATTATGGGATTAGTTAGGATGGGATATATCTTCTTGCTCAACGCCCGGTTCCAGATAGTCCTCACTCCTCAGAGAGCCTTCTATTGGACTTTCTGGAATCAGGTGAGCTTAGTTCTGTTGTTGATTTCACTTTATTCTCTTTCATTAGGCTTGTTACTGACTCCTCAGAGAGCCTTCTATTGGACTTTCTGGAATCAGCTCGTAATTTATATAACGAAGTTCCAAGTTAATTGTCCGATCGTGCTCTCTCGAGAAGTCGTGCCGGATTATCATCCGGACGCTAGTGAAGGTTCTCACGAGAACCTTACAAGGGCCCGGTGCTAGGTGCTCTTCCTGAATGGAAAATACAACAAGGCAGATGTCTAATATACTACCCTGTATGATGGGTTGTATTCCAGGACTGGTGGAGATGCTCCAAGATTTTGAGATCCAGCAATTTCAAATACTGTCCAAGAAAAACTGGATGAGACAGATATATAATCTGTGTCTGCTATCTAGAACTCATTCAATTTGATACTACAACATCTTTGTTTCTCATGTCCATTCTCATATGTCAAAAATCTCATCTTGGATCACACATAGATTGTTTTCCACTTTGGCTGTTTCTTTCTTTAGAATGCCCAGTTACAGTTGCTTTCCAGATCCAAGACTGAGCTTGCATAACTATAGCGGACATCAATGGCCACAAACTGGGGTAATCATAATTTTCATGTCAAAAAAGGTCTTCAAACGCTTTGGCAGCATAAGAAGCAGGCGGTGGGAGAAGTGCATTCAAAAAGGCCAGTATCTGCACAGAGATTGCAAAGTGAGTCCTGTTCAGACTTGAACATTTCCTTTGCCACTTCTCTTTATTTTCAACACAGTGGTAATTGACCTTAGGACAAACAGATCTAGTTACCCCATTGGAGTAGTACCTCTCAATCCCAGGATTTGAATTCCCAACACTCCAATCCCTATGTACAAGCTACCCAACCTTTGCAGACCATACATCTATGATTCAACTGGACAGAGGAAATGGGAACAGAAATGAGGATCAGGGGACAGTGGAAGAAGAACAACCCCAGCAAGATAATCCGGGAAGAATAGATGCTGATGCTGAAGATAAGGTCAACAGATTTATGCCAAAAGAGTTGAAGAAGTAGAAGGAAGAGGTAAGAATAGAAATAAAAATGATAGAGACAGAAGTTCTTCCATAGATATTTCCAATTCTACAAAAGAAAAGCCCCACAACACTTGTGTTTTTACATTGATCAAAAATAAGCAGATTGATGAAAATTGTTACCACAGAGATCTCAAGAGATGAACAAACCCATCAAGCAATACCACAAAAACTCTATTTCTGCTGGGAAGCAGGAGATTCCAAAACTTCCCTGACACTTGTGTTCAAGGCCTTCTCCAATATCAACCTCAAGAAGATGAACACTTGACCTAACACCTCAAATTTCAGCTTGGCATCCAAGCCAAAGGAAACCAACCCAGATTCAAAAATCACCCCAAATCCTTTCAAAGAGGATACTAAATGGTGTGATGAGGTGTCCAAGGACCATCAAGACAAACATTGTTAACATTCTTGTTTCACACTTTCTCATAAGAAAACAAAAATTTGTCTTTTTTTTCACAAAAATCACTTTGATACATGTATTAAAGTGGTCTCCTAAAAACCAGTTTCTATGAAACCATGCAAAGTGAATGTGCTCTGAATGTTAATGTGAAGGCATGGAAATAATGGAACAAAGGTCTGACATGATGTCAGAAAAATTTGAAAGCAAGGTCAATCTCCCCCTGGATGTTTGCAATGTAGTGGCAGCATGGTCTCACTGCTGCTGGCTACAACAGTGCAATGATGTGGTTGGAGCCTGCAATGTTGTCATGTGGCTGAATACCAGCAGAGACCCAAGGTGAATCTCTGTGAAACTCATGCAGGCTTTGACCACACCCTGGCAGCCCTGTTCTGCTCAAGGGCTGCCACATGGCATAGATCTGATCTCATCCTGTACAGTTTATTGATTCTTCTTTAGGTTTATATGCAGAAACCATTAGGGTAGTTCCATAGGTTTATTGCATGAAATGTTTGTCATCAAAACAAATTTCACTCACATTGGGGTGAGTTAGAGGCTTCCCATGGCTCAAGGCTCTATGCCCACATGAGTGTAGGGGTTGAGAAGCCAGCGTCTCTGAGAGTCCTGTTCTTGCCTCAGAGAGGTTGGAGGTACATATGATCCGAGGAGCTTTATTACCTCTACACTGCCCTGAGGCCCTCCCTACACCACTACAAACACACCTCCTAAAACATGGGTCTGTGTTTACAGTGGTAGAGCAGCTCTTGCAAGCCGTAGGTTCCTCAAGTATCCGGGTAACACGATTATTAAGAACATACCATTTTGCCGGTGGTAGCATGAGACACACACCTGAGAGAGATAGACAAAGATATTAGTACCAGACAAAGGAGTTCTATGATGATTCAATAAATCAAGTTCAAAACTAATGGAATGAACTTCGGGTAAAAACACATTACAAAAATGGATCAAGATGGTACCTTCACTCATGTTGAAAAACGCAATGTTCAGTGGGTTTTTTCTACAAAATATTTGAAACAAACTGAAAGAAGCAAAGAGGTTTACATAAGCCAATTAGCGAAAATACGAATTCTTACGAAGAAGAGGCAAATCAGTTTCAAAAAAACCCACAAAAAACCATTACGGTTTCTATTTGAAACAAAACCTACCGATCATTGAAGTAATCCAAATCAAGCATAATCATCTTCTCGGTTAATAGGTAAAACTAATCTAAAAGCATCTTTTCTATTTAAATAAAATGCATATAATCTTTTTTCTCGAATGAATCCAAGTCGTTGATAAAATGCTAAAGCAGATCGATTGTCAAATTCTGTTTCTAAAACGATCTGTGTTCCAAAAAGGATGGGATAGTAAAAAGATTAAAAAACCAAATGATGAGTAAATTCGATTTGTCGATGGAAGGGTGGATGGAATGATGATATACAAGTCTGGAAAAGAGACTTACTTCTTCGGCACCATCTTTTACCATTTGATCAATAGCCATTTTTACAAGCTTTCGAGCTAATCCACAAACCAAATCAAATGAATGACACGTATAGACTCATAAGTCAGAGGGAACCAAAAAACGTACCTATGCCTTGTTTTCTCATTTCTTTTTTGGTTGTCAACATTGCAATATAACCTCTATTAAGTTTTCCTAATCGAGTTTCTTGTTTACAAACAATAGCTCCAACTGGAGTACTATTGATTAAACCATCATTTTCATTCGTAGGGGTTTCAATTGATCCATCTGCAAAACATAAAAAACAAAGTTGAGGCCTATATACAAAATCAGCACCAAAGTTCACTATTCATCGATTCGAACCAAGATTTTCAAACAACGATAATCTCGTTTTGATAGGGAAAACAAATGCGATGAGTCTTACCAACCCGACAAAAAGTAACGATATGTGTACTAGAAGGAAACCAATCAAGACATCAAACAATATATCATCAGCTTAACACAATAACCTCAATTTGGAATTGAAATGAACTCGTTACTCAAACGATGATATAAGGTTCACTCAGCTCCCCCTCAACCAGTTCCATGATCCGATCTAAATCATCAGTTTGGTTATCGAAAGGTCTATACCTCAAAGTGATTGATTGGTTTTCTAAAGTCTTGAAAGGTTCAGTGGTCATGGTTTAACAATTGACGATCAAGTCATTTTGCAAACTCTCGATCCCGTACATTCCAGCACCGGGTAATGAGAACCCCGGCCCGCTGGAACATTGAAAGAAGTCCATTGGCCTCGACCCGATGATTTCATAGAGTTCAATGAAGTTCGAGTTCTTGATTCCAAAACCTGACTTCACTTTCCGCTATCAAACCTCAACAAAGCATTCCATCGTCCCTACTTCGCTTTCTTTCACAAAATCAAAAACATGTCGGCTGAAATTTGTGCCCCGTATGGTAAGTGATTATAGTCAAGAGATCCGAACTCGATCGAATAACACTGATTTGAATTTGTTTGACATAATGATTATCAATATAGCACCTTTCTTTGGTTTCGCTGGAGTGGCTTCATCAGTTAGTTAAAGGTGATCTTAAAAGTCTTGAATAACATTTGTTCTTCCTTGCTGAGACCTCTGAACGGAAATACAATTTAGATGATTTTCTCAAGTAAGTTTCATATCTCATTCTCAAACTGAAAGACTTCTTGGAGCCTTTCTGTAACTTACGTGACATTCGTTCTTGTTTGGTAAATTTTAGCTATCGGTGCTGCTTATGGAACTGCTAAAGCTGGAATCGGTATCACTGGTCTTGGAATCATGAAACCTGATCTGGTGATGAAAGTTAGTGATTATCATTCCAACATCCAACACCAAAAAAGGCTCATGAACCGTTTGACAATCAAATCCAAAACTTCATTCAGTCACTTATTCCAGTGGTGATGGCAGGTATCATAGCAGTGTATGTCATTGTGACCTTCACCAAACTTCTCTTTGTCTTTCTGATCATGATTTGATTATATTATAGGTATGGATTGGTAGTAGCAGTCTTAATAATAGGAGGAATGGATCCTTCAAAACCTTACTCAGTATTCGCGTTGAGTCAAACTTGACCTCGATTCCCAACAAAACATCAAAATTTCAAAGACTCATTTATGATGAATTGGTTTTTGAAAAATAGTGGCTTTATTCATCTAGCAGCAGGTCTTTCTTGTGGTATGACAGGATTAGCAGCGGGCCACGCGATTGGTATCATAGGTGATGCTGTAAGTTCACGTTTTCAAAAAATAGGATTGATTTTTGTTGTTCTAGACAATCAGAATTGATCGAAATTTTGTGTTATGATTCAACATATGACAGTGTGCAAGAGCTTTCTTGTTTCAATCACGAATCTTCGTTTCAATGGTTTTGATGCTCATCTTTGCAGGTTAGAACCATTTTACAAAACAAACCACCAAAGTGATCAGTATCCTAATTCAATTTTGATTTTGTTGATTCTTTTTTGAAAAAAAACTCTAGAGGTTATTGGACTTTATGGATTGATTATAGCTTTAATTTTGAACACAAAAGCTTTCCAAGGTAATACTCTATGCACTTGATTCCCTCCATCTCTACATTGTTCTATTGTTTTTTATTTTTCAAGACTTGATGATGATCGAAAAGTCATGTATGTTTGGTGAGGGGATGAGATTGAGTTTATAATCTGATGATTCTCATCTGAAAGTGAGGATGGATAAGTTGAGGTCTGAAGATTGAGTTTACGAGACGTGATGAGATAAAGTCTTGTGAAGGATAGTGCAAGGCCCACTTGAAGCTTGGGGCAGATGAGCTGGATCTGCTCAATAATCTACACAAGTCCAGATCCCAGAGCTTTACATAAGTTCAGAATGCATCTCTTTATTGACGTTGCTGGGGTGTACCCATAAGTACAAAATAAGCTTACCCGCGAGCCCTGTCGCCAGTTGTCCAACATTTTACCCAATCTCACTAGGGTGGTCAAGTCTTGAAGCCAAGCTATAAAGAAAACATTCGATCAAGTTGAATTCAACGGGTCACGATCTGAATACATTTCCATCTCATCAAACCTGTATACATTGACTTTAGCACTTATTTTGTGCTTTCAAGACTTTTCAAATTGAATATTGAGTCTGCATCAAAAGAAAGATCAATTGATACCCAGCTATCATAAAATACTTGAATGTTTCTTGTCTTTTGTTTTGAGTTGGTATTCAACAGTACACCAGAACAACTCTTGGATGCAGGATGCCTGATCATTCTCAATCAAATCACCGTTGGTGATGAGAAGCTTGAGAGGAATTCAGTCTACATCTACACTTATGTATGTCATCCATCAGAGCCAACCGCTATAACTAGACATAGAGCTATATATTTGTATAGTTCGGTTCAACCAAAATAAGAGCGATCAAAAAAAATACCTGTCTCTCACAATATTTTCTTTTCAAGAGTCATGTTTTTGATAGACTTTTTTCCCAGATAAAAACAAACAGCAAGAGAACCAGACAACTCGATCAAACCTTTCGTTCTTGCGAGCCCAATTAATGAGGCAAAAGAGTACAAAAAGGCAACCAAGTTCGCCAAAAAATTCCATCATCTGCCATGTTTTCTATCACATGTATACAAGATGGTACCCAAGACATTTCCCGAGACCGTCATATAAGCCTTTTTTGGCAGACATGCCATCGTCGGATCTTACCTGGGCCTGCTGCACATGCTTCAAGAGTTCCCTACAAGTTAAATGTATCATCATCCGCATATTTTCTGGTGTTCCGATGCGGGGTGGACTTGATTGATTTGTTGGAAGCTCCCGAAAGCTAATGGATTTGAATAAGACCTTATGAAACCGGCTATATGTACGAGGTGTCTTGACAAACGAGATCGCTCCGATGGTTTCAGAGAAATATCCATCGCATCGAATTGCATCGTGGTAGAAATGCAATTGAGGCGAAGAGAGCTGCGCAAACAACCAAGTCTACCATAATTATACTGAACCGTTAAACATATCACTCAAGATAAGATCCCGATTTAAAGGCCAGAGGGATATCGGATATATGTCTTGTGATAGATGTTGTCATCCTCCGACATGGCTCATTTCAAGAACGCAGTACATGAAAAAATAAAACAGCGAAACCGAAGCATGTGGACAAGTCTTGATATAGAAAATCCGCGCGATCAAGGCGAGGAGACCGATAAGATCCGAAGACACCCTTGGTGCTGAAAAAGGCTCATCCGACGGTCTCAGGAAATGTCCTGGGTATCAATTGATAGCGTTCTGCATCGCAGGCGAAAAGGACTGCGCAGAAGACCAATTCTGTCATAATCAAGTGATGAAGCACATTCCGGTCTCAGGAAATGTCTTGGTGTCAATTCATAGCTTTCTTTATCGGAAACGTCCATGCGCTTCAACAACAGACAGCTTTACCTTCCATGTAGCGAATTGCATGGCGTACAATGGCCTGAAAAGCTTAAAAGAACCCTTCTCATTCTCATTTCCTTGTAATCAAGCAGTTAACATCCACTCATACTTACCCGGTAAATACTTCTCTTCGGTCCGTTCTGAGAAAAGACTCTTTAATATATATTCATTTGCTTACCTATGCTTCTTCTTATTACTGCGACTGAAAAAACCCCTGTCTGCATCTATGATTGAACTCAGTCCCAAGCCACAAAGGATTGTGTGGATCACAGGTAGATTGTCCCGCTTATCAATCATCATTTAATCTGTGTTGTTTTCTCTTTTGAGAATACGATATTTCGAATTTCTATCACATCTTGGAGTGCTGGTTGCTAATATTATTTTCTTATCACCAGCAGTCAACTTTGACAACCCCATCACACCGTTCAACAGTTTGAACTTTTCTTATTGAAGTTGATCCCATCTGATATTTGCAAGCATTCACGTCTTTGCAAGAATTCACTTCCCTCCTTCTTGTAAGTCACTTAAATTTGCCATGTTTTTGAGCATTTTCTTGACTGCCGGCTGCAACTGATTAGATCACCCTTTTGAACTAGACACCACAATTAACCAACCATGAAGTACGCCCCCGGCTGTGTGTTTTTGTGGGTGCTTGTGTTGGCGAGCACCGCCTTGGCAAATCTTGGTACACTGTCATCTTCTATAAGCTGTAAAAATTGTGGCAACGAGATGGACCGATCTTTTGCCGGGATGTGTCAAACTCATCCGAAATGTTCTGGATGGATAACTGAACATCGTAGATGTCGACGAGAGGCTAAATGCACATATTATAGAGTAATGAATTATACTTGTAATTGTGGTCATGCGGATAACGCTATATCAGAACATCCTCACGGTGAGCAAGGTCTGGAGTTATTCTGTGATGATCACAAAGACCAGGAAGAAAACGCAGCCCGTTACAATGCCGAACATAATTCTTAAACTCCAGATAACTCACACTCCAGACCCAACCTCAATTTGAAAAAGGAAACCTTCAGGTCTTGTTATAAACCCTCCTAAGACTTCATGAAGAAATTCTTGTAAACTCCACAAATCTAGAGACAAAGAAAAAGAAAACCAAACAGACACCCAGATAAAGATTTTTCAAATACTTCAAGACTTCATGATTGATTGTTTGAAAATCTAGTTAAGAATACCTTTGATGAAATTTGATTGTAAGTTGAAACACATTTGATGATTTGAAATGGAGTGTAGATCTAAGTTCAATAGAGTTGATGATTTTAGCTCCAATAGTCCATATTCTTGGTATTCAAATTTTGTAGAATTTGTGTTTATCATTGTCTTGCTCTTTAGAAATTGATAAAGTCTATTATTAAGTCTGTTGATATATCTGATTTGTTTGTTATATTGTGGAAATTCAATGATTCAAAGAAACAAATTGAGAAAATGAGCCTCCATTAAGATGTTGATAATTTATCTTTACATCTTCCACATGCAAAATGAGCCTTCAGTAGGCACATTTCTGGCACCTGGACCATGGTGTTTCACCTCGCTTCCTCAACTTACACCTTTATCATCATACACCACACTACGGCCCAAAATGGACACCACAATTGGAATCAAATCGAGTAAGCTGATTCTCAAAAGTATTTCACTATTTCAATACACTTGATCACATTTTTAATACATGTAAATATCCACATCAAACTCAATTTAATTCTTAAAACTAGTTTACAATCAACATCATCAATCAAATCAGATATCAATATCACTCAAGATCAAAGTTTCTAATGGATTTTTTTTGGACATATCATCAAATCAATTAAGTTTCTTCAAATGAATCTTGGGCTTAATTGAAGTACATAAGTCGGAATAAGTTTTTGGATGTTGTTGTTGAGGAACTGGAAATTCAGGGGGGTTAAGACTGGCTGTGGTATTTTGTGTTGAGACATGGTTGAGGTACTTGAAGGGAAGATCTTGTCAGGCATGTTGTGACGGTGAACATTGGAGTTGAATTGAGGAATATGGAGATTTGATCAAAGTCAAGAAAGGCAGAACATCTTTGTTCCAGAACAACTGTGTGTAGTATAAGTGAGTGTTTGGGAAAAAAGGTGATTGATACCTGATCATTCAAGTTCCAAATGATCTTCAAAAGATCAATTAAAAGACTGTTCATACTACATACACCTCAAAAGCTTTATGTCCCAAGTTATTCTTCTGCCCATCTCACAAGGCTACCACTATACTATCCACTATGCTATACTGGTTCAGAAATATATTTGGCATAGTATATTCCCATGCTGTATATTTAGAAAAACCTTTCAAAAACTTGTATATGTAGGTCTCTTGCAGGTATATTTGGTGAATCAAAATATACTGGGTATATTTTTCAGCATAGTATAAGTACAAATATACTGGTATGATTATCATAATTCTCAGTTTAGTATAGCTGAAATATACTATACCGACAGTATAATATACTGGTATAGTATACATAGTGGCAGCCTTGCATCTCACATCTTTTGTGTTTTTGAGCAAAAAGCATCACCAATCAAAAACATATTTGAAGTATTGTACAGAAGAATCACATTCAAATCTACCAAGACAGATCTTCATATGAAAAAAAACTTTACCATAAGAAATAGTTTGATCTAACTTCTGGGTCATAATAAACCTATCCAAAGTCTTGATGTTTAATTCTGATTAAGATTTTCCATAAGGTAGATTTTATGAGAATTGATTCCAAGTATTCAATTTATGGTAAGGTTCATTGTGAAGAACTTGGTTATAATAGTACAAGAATTGATGAAAGAACTCTTTAAACCAAAAGTAGATTTATTCAATGAGATTGAAAGTACAATTGTAATGAAAGAAAAGTTTGAATGTAAGTATCAGATCAATTAATAATTTTTCAAGTCTTAAAGATGTTCAACTTCAAACAAGACAACCAAACCAATTCATCCATCCGAAACCCAAAGCCCATGCACATCCAATACCATCGCACATATCCATACTCTGAACATCCTCCCGTTACGTATCTTCAGTCTATGTTTTTCTTATAAAGTTGCGATACATAGATCCATAGACTGTGACACCATTGATTGTACCGATTCTAGAACTGAGGTGTGAGTGAATAGGAATAGGAATAGGAATAGATCCGGTTGTTAAATTTTTTTGGTGGGGAGGAATTGTACAAATTGGAAAAAGATTTATGTTTTATATGTGCGAAGGTTTCAAAACACAGAGAGTTTGATGATAACTTGATGAATCGTATGGTTGAGCTGGTTTCCGACTTTTGGTTGTTCCATGAACTTTTGGTGGTAGGTTTTTGATTGTTTTAATTCTGATTTCTAACATGCGCACTTGATGAGTTTATCGTTTTGTGATGTGATGTGATCCATTCAATCTTTTTATCATGAAATAGCCTTCTATAAGAATCCTTGCAAGTGATACTTTTTTCCGAAAAATATCAATTCCATCCATACCGACCTCACCTTCACCAAGTCGTAAGTCAAACCGAGCAGCCCTTCTGAAGTCGAGAGTCGAGACCGGAGTTCAAAAGAAGAAACCGATTTTAAAGTTTTTCTTCTACTTTACTTCACTTTTCTATGTAAATGGCTTCTCTTTAATCCATAACCTTCCAGTCGTACCACTCCTATATGTATGTAGGATGTAGCACCACTTCTCCACTCGTACCACGTCTTCTTGCCTATATATGGGAATAGGTGACACCACAAGACTGAAATCCGAAATCCGAAATCCGAATCAATTGAACATCAGTTTAAAATTTCAATAGAATGCTAAGTACAACAGATCAATCAATGTGAATCATCAGATTCTTTAGATCCAAAAAAGATTAATTAGAAACAGACAATTGTGTTTCTTAAAAGGAATCTTATTAAATACATGATGAGTTTCACTTCAAGTTTCTGTAAAAGATGAAAAAACCCATTGAAAGTTTGTAAAGAAATCTTTAGTCTTAGATTGATGAGTTGAAGTAGAATTTTAATTTATCTTAATTTTTTAAAACCCCCACTGATCTTAGTTGGTTTACCCTTTCTTTGATGATAAGTTTGGATTCAATGAGGTGAAGTGAAGTGAGTTGATATAAATTGATGACAAATTGATCGATTTAAACTCTTGATCTGATCTATTTTAATCAGAGTAAGAGTGAGACCCCACCTTTGAGTTTTGCAAATCAACCCACTTACCCACTTTTCCCTTTTTTAAATGATAAATGATAAATGAATCTGATGATGATGTTTTAGATATGAGTATTCTTCCCTTTGATTCGTTTTGGTTTTAGTTTAAAGTCTCGGGAGTCGAGTAAGATAGATAGAAATAGTCGAATGGATGATTAATAATAATAATCAAATGGATGAATTGTAAAACTTTTAAACAAAGGAATCATAGTCTTCTTCTTCTTCTTCTTGTTCTTCGTTGAGATGAAAACTTATCGATCGATCCTTCAAGTCTCTTGATTCGGATTTCTCTTGATGACCATTCTGCTTGATTACCACTTTTCACTTTTTTGATTACCACTCTTTAGATTTAGATTTAGTTTTACTCCACCACCCTTCTCATTACCACCAGCAGTAGCAGTAGCACTACATCATAGTACCACCGCCAGCCACCATCAGTGCAACAATCCATCCACTACTCAACTAAATCCCGACTGCTTGCTTGATTGATTGATTGAGAGAGAGAGAGAAGTGACGATCAGAAAGTTAGTCTGAATCTTGATTTTTCGATTTTCCATTCATCATCCGGCTCATCATCAAGCTTGAATTCAATCTCACCGTTTATCATCTTACACATCTCTTCTTCGCACTTTATTTCACTCAGCTTTTCTGTATTCTATGCTCATCTCAGCTCATCACTTCATCATTCTCTTTTACATACACACTTTCTATCTCTTCTCTTTTATATCTAACTTGTAATCCTCATTCTTCTCCTCTTCTTCATTCGCTTCTACATTACTATCTGTTTTCGTTACTTTACCAGTTACTTGACTTTTGTTGGATGATAATGAGAACTTAGAAACTGATTTGAATTCTTCCTTGCTTTCCATTCCTCGAATCTCTTCTCTGGTCTCCTTCTTTTTAGTTTTACGTTTGACGTTTGACGATTCTCGAGTTGAGGTTTCGTTGTGAAGGAGATCGCTAACGTTTTGACGAAGATTGAATCCGATTGGGATAAGTGATCAATTTTAAAGGTAACCTGATCTGTTTCAAGTTCATGAACCGGTTTTGTTTTCCATGGATTCCTAATTATGATCCCTGTCTTGCTTCCTATCTAGATAATCTTCCGATCTTCAAATATCCTTTTTTTTTTTTTTTTCTTTTGACATTTTACGGTTCTTCGATTTTTTTTTTTTCTAATTCCTCGGTTTGGTTTAACTTCTTTTTTTTTTGGATGTTTGGTCGAATGATCAAGTGGGTTCTAAAAATTTCATTTCAATTCAATTTCAATTTCTACTGAAACTTCTGCTTCCTCTTCTTGATTCCTCTTTTGGCTCTATATCTTCCGAGTTCCATTCTACAACTTACTTTACATATATTTTACTGGTTTTTTTTTTTTTTTTTTGATCATCCATCCCAATTTTCTTGCAAATTTTCTTCCGTTTTACATTTTTTTTTCTTACCAAAACAAAAAATAAATCCTTTTGTAATCCATCCATTCTTTAAATCCCTCAATCACATATATTACCAATTATATAGACTCGTCTTCTTGATCTCTAGTTTATCGTCTTTTGATTTTGATCCTTCAGCATTTCACTCATTTGCTTTTTCTTTTTCCTTTTTTTTGAATACGCAAACAGCATACAAATTTAATTTCAAAAGAAGCTCTTTACTCAGCAACCAAGATCAAAACTCCATCCAATCAACTTCTAGGATTTCTCAGATTCAAATCATTTAAGATTTCTTGAATATTTTGAAATCTGAAGTTGGATTTTGACTACGAAGTTATGAATCCCTACGTCGTTACTAGTTCAGCTAGTTCTCATTCTAATAGAGTTACTTTACCACCTATGATGATTTATCCTGAATCAGATCATTCAATAAAACTTGAAGCAAATCAAAACTATCATCATCATCATCATCAACAGTCTTCTTATACATCTTCATCATTATTTCATCATTCTAATTTGAATGGTTCTTTTGATTCGGATTACAAAAGTTTAAATTTAATTCCATCCACCAATTTCAAAACTTATATCAAACACCAAGATTCGATGACGATGCCAATGCCGATTCCGATTCCAATTCCAATCAAACCACTTCAAATCTCACATTCTACGAACAATTTTAATGAACAAGATCATTCTCAATCCCCATTTAGCCTACATGAATCTCATCAAACTCATCATCAACCCGATCAACGTTTATCATTATCCTTACTCTTAGCTGCTGCAAATGCTTCAGATGCGAATATTCCATCTACACCTTCTACTTCGATCCATCACGTCAACCAAAGCCCTACAAACGTTTATACCCAAAACCCTTCTAGTCCTAGTTGGAGTTCTAATCTTACAGGAAGTTCAGACCAAATCATCCCACCTAGTTCTCCTCATACCCCATTAGATACACCAACATACTCTGAAGGAAAATTGATACATAAATCTCATTATCCGATTTATTCAGACGAATTCGATCCAAGAAAGTTACAAGAAGTTCATTACCCAACATACAAAAATGAAAAGATTCAAGAAGAAAACTTATTACCGGATGAAGAGAGATGGACATCTGTATCAGTGATGATGAGATCAAATCAAAGTCATCAATGGTCTGAGTCACCTGATTTACCTTCACCACCACCTTCGATTACGAAATCTAATGATCATCAACTTATTGAAGCTGCTGAGGAATGTGTGGGAAAAGTGATGAAGAAGAGAAAGAATAAAAGATCGATTCCTTGGACTGCTGAGAAACCAAAACAAGGTAAAAAGAAACGTAGTGGTAAGTGTTTTTTCTTTTGATTACTTTTAATCAAAAGTGAGGAATTGTTTTTCTGATTTCGGTTTTGATTTGGTTTTTTTATAGTTGGATACGTTAGACCGATTATAAAACACAGAAAAAGAGTAGGCCAAAGGTTACTAGACATGCTAAGTTGAGTTCCTCCCAAAAAAAAAAGAGAAACCCTTTACAAAAAAAACCCCAACAAAAACAAAGAAAAAACAAAACAAATTCTAATCAATTCCGCCCGAAAAAAAAAAACTTTGTACACAGAAAATTCACCTATTCCAAGTAAATGTCCACCAATGGAAGTTAATAGAGCAAGATGTTTTCCATTTGCCGAAATGGAAAGTAAGTTAAATGAATGGTATGGATTACAGATTGAATGGCCTAAGGATGGAAACTTTAGGATGGATGAGTTGAGGAGTACTAGGAGGATGAGACAGGATGAGTTGGATAGGTAAAGCTTTTCATGTTTTTTGAACACTACATTGTTACCCAAAAAGGATTGATCATTTTTTTTTGGATTTTTTTTTGGATTTCTTTTTTTTTGGATTTCTTTTTTGGGCCGGTTTGTAGATTGGATCAAACACTTGATAGTGGATTGGTTAGGATTAGATTAGCAGATTGGGTTTTGGAAGAAGAACCGTTTAGGTTCAATGAGTTTAGTTATCCTAGTGATGGATCGGATTCAAGTCTTGATGAACATGATTTGATTGTACGTCTTTTGGTTTCTTTCTACACACACTTTAGTTTGGTTGATTTAGTTTGGTTGATTTTTTTGGGGGGTTTTTTGGGTTTTTTTTTTTAGGAATTCGATTCTAGTAATGGGTTGGTTGAACGTACTTTGAGACCTGAAATGAGTTGAGAAAATTGAAGAAAAGTTATTTTTTTTTGAGAATGGTGAAGGCTTTTTCTTTGGATTTGTTTTCATTCGTGACTTTTTTTTTGGTAAATATCAAATGAAAAAGAAAATATATATCTCAAATTTGTATGATTATTTCTTATATTTCCTTGTTTTTCAACTTTTCTGTTCTGTTTTGTTTTCTTCTGTTCTGTTTTGTTTTGTCTGTTTTTTATTTTTTATTTTTTATTTGTTTTTTTCATTTCTGTATTTCTTACCATTTTCTTTTCCGTTTGATCATTTTTCTTTTTTGATTTTTTGATTTTTTTTCTTGATACCAAAAAAAAAAAAAAATGTTTTTCACAAAAAACCTAACCAAAAAAAAATGTTTTTTTTCCAACGTTTTTTTTTTTCAATGTTTTTTTTTTTTGCTTCTTGTAAGAGATGTTTTAATGTGTGTGTGTGTTTTCTTACAAAGTGAAGAAAGAAAGTGGGGTTACATTTATATATATATATATATAATTCTAGTTAATGATATGATTTTCTTTTTTTGAATTAATTGATTGATTGATGATGGTTCTAATGAAATTAACCAAGTTATTGGTTTTTTGGTCTTGTGGAATAAGTATTTACGGTTTTGAGTTTACGTAGATTAACTGAAGATCTAGATGTCCTTTGTGTACACGACGTATAAACCTTGTGCTACATATTCTGAAAAGAAACTTGAAGAACTCATAATCCAACGCTGGGCCACTGCGCTTCAAAAATTGAACAAACACCGTAGCGGCTATGTGATGCACCACAGCAGGTCTGTTTACTGGCAAGAAAATCTCGATACAAACACAATTTCATAAATTTCTTTAAAATCAAACAATAAACTCATCCAAAAACAATAAACTCATCCAAAAACAATAAAGATCAAACGAAACATAATCAAAAAAAAAAAACACTATAAAATCATTCATATATATATATACAATCAACAACACAAGTTAAAAAAAAATCTCACACATGTTTATATAAGAACTAACAATTGAGAAAAATGAAAATGATGAAGAAATCTTTCTTATTTAACAACTTTCTACTCGGTTCTGAATTTCTTACTAATTTAGTCAACTAATTCCATGTGTCTACAACAAAAGACTTTCTCTTCTTGACTTTAAAAATTCTTGTTTTTTTCTTCGTATGATTGATAAAGACAAAAAAACACACACCCACACATATGTATATCAAAAACAAGAAACCAATCATCATCATCATTTGTCCATATATTGAGTGATAAACCATCCGAAAAAAAACATCATTGATACCTTATTCATCAGCTACATCACTCAACCTATTGATATTCATATTAAGATTTCCTTTAGGATGATTTCCCGTAGTATTAGTAGCACGTCTATACCTATTCCCATCATTTTCCAATTTACTTTCGAACTGAGACCGAATAGAATCAAAAGAAGGTGAAGCTTTCTTATGACCTCCATCCGTTCCATTGCCAGATCCTCCAGAAGTACTAATACTGATCGGTCGATTGGTTCCAAGACTTCCTTTCATCACTCCTCTACTTCTATTCAATGATGCTCTTGGTGATGATTTACCTGATCCCCATCTAGACACTAATGTTTGATGACTTAGTGGAATATCTTCTTGATCTGCTCCTACTGCTCTTCCACTCGCTCCTCCTCCTTCTTCTTCTTCTGGTTCAGATCTAGGTGGAAGAAATGGTAAATCTTTTTCTTCCGTCGGTGCTACAAATGGTAAATCTCCTTCTGATGATGATGATGATGATTTCGGTACCACAAATCCTTCATCTCTTTCTTCATGATCATCATGATCTTCAGGTGATGGGATTAATCCTTCTTCCACTTCTCTTGGTGATACAAATGGTTCATCTCGATCAGATTGTCCTTCTTCTTCTTCAGAAACTTCTGGTCCCTTCTTCATCATCGGTTCGATCGGATCATTTACTGAACTTTGGCCTTCTGGTTCTACTTGCTTGGTGCTAATCACTTCGGTCGGTGTTGACTCCTTTGGCTTTGGAGAACTAACAACAACTTCTTTGGTTTCCTTTTCATCCGGTAAACTCGCCGGTACCATTCCACTTCTCGAAATCCTCCTACGATGAGTTTCCAATCTACGAAAAAAGTAACATAATCAGTAAACAATCTTAACCATCCATAAGTCGTAAAAACCACAGCTCACATTTCTTGAGCTTTAGAATCAGTTAAAGATCCTTCGATTCCCAATCCACTCCTACTCATTCTCATATCAACCGGTCTAGTATGTTTTCGCTTAGGCAAACTTCTTTCAGTTTTCTCAATCAATTCACTTCTAATGGAAATCGCTTTAGGTAAGATCCGATCATAATGATTAACTAAATCAACTAAAAATAAGGATTGGAATCGATCACTTAAAGTCACAGCTGTTTCGACTTTAGGTCTGATCAAACCTAATCCCTCAGCACCACCGAGGGAAAACCAAATCACTAGTGAGTTCTCTGAACCCAATCAAAAAAGGTGTTCAAAACTTACATCTAGAAAGAGAAAGACCAAGTTTAGTCAAGAAGACTTCATTGGATTCATCAGTTTGAGTAGATTTAATCAAAGAAGACAAATGTGAAACTAATTGATCAATAACCATTAAATGAGGTTTAGGTAATTTGCTTAATAAAGATACCATAACATCTATTCTGGCATCTAAAGAAGGACTTTCGAATCCTGATAATTGTGGATAAATCGCTTTGATATCATCGTATTTAGAATAATGAACAGGTGGTGGATTTAATTCTAATAACCAAAGCTTTTTGTGTAAAGAAAAAAAAAGATATCAAAGCTAATTAGTAAAATCGATTTGAATTTTTCTTCCTTTTTTGAAACCTCACTCACTTTGATCGTAGATGCAATTAATGGTGCATCTAATTTAGATAGTCTTTCATCTGAGATTTGAGATTGGTTAGGATTATCTAGAGCTTCTCTAAGACTGTGTACAGCTCTAAGAGGAACTTCGTAAATCCAAGTCTTTCGACGTTCTATAAAAAAAGAGATCAAAAAGATCAGTAGGAGCCTCATTGGATTGTATCGTTCCAATGGATCCAACTTACCACTATGAGATTCAATGCTGTTACATTTCTCTTCGAGGGTTTTCAATAATCGAGAAAAGATTGGAGGTACAACCACTTGTTGATCATCTTGCGAAAGATACCATCTTCCCAAATCGATTCCAAAATTCACTTGATCAGGTAATCCTTTAAAACTATGAAACAAAACAGGTGATGGTCTAAATGGTCCAGTCCGATATCTTTCTACCAATGCTGCTACATCTGATTCAGGTACAAAGCTTTCATTCAAGACATCTGATTCTTCGGCCGTTTTTTTCATCTTGGGTATCAAAGTTCCCAAGGCTGCATTGAAACCCATGATGACTGCTTTAGCTGCTCGAAGTCGATTTAATTCACATCTTTGTAGAAAGGATGCGTGTTCAGAAATAGCTTGTTCAAGGATAAGTCGAGTATGGTCAAGTCGAGCCACCTGTGCTGCATACGCTTTCTCAGCACTATCAGCTTCACGTCTAAGCCGTTCTTCTCTAGTTTCATCAGCCGATTCGATCGAGATAGGCGGATTGGCTACTCCGACACTTGCACTCAATTCATTGATCCCTTTGGCAGCTTGAGAAACGGCGGTTTGCAAATATTTGGCAAACGCACCACCCTTTGGTCCTCCGCTTTCATTCAGATTGTTGTTCGAAGACAAACCTGCAGGAGAGAGGAGTGCAGATTGAATGTTACTGAGTGACAAAGATTTTTTGGAATGACCGGGTGATGAAGGGTTCGAAAGATTGGAGCCAGCCTTGAGTGATCGTCGGTCGGCCAAGGTGTTAGTTAAATCTTCCAACTTAGGTTCAGGAGTGATTTGATGAAGTGTAAAGGCTTCCGGTTTCCACAAATAAAAGGCATCATGAGTAGGCATAAACTTGTTTCCGATTTCTCCAATCAATCGAAGTACAGCCAGTTCTTCTGAAAGTTCTTTACAAAACTCAATAGCTCTTCCTGATGATGATAATTCAGTGACGTTGGTTTTGAAATAGATCACTAAATCTTCACCTGAATGTGCACCGGGATAAACACCCAAGAGTGGGATCTTCACATCTTGTTTATAGATTGTCTTTTGCGCTTGTTCAAATAATCGACTCCATTCGAATGGAGATCTGATCACACCGGCAATGCTCAAGAGTGGTCCGGAGGGAGATGATGAATCGTGATGCGATGGTGGTGAAGGAGAAGATTTGACATTTGTAGAAGGCGAGATCGTTGAATGATCATCAGCTTTGCCCTTACCTTTGAGGTCAGCAGAATGAGGTGGACTAGCTTCAGTACGGAGATTCATGGGTTTCATTTGCCTCTTCGTCGATTTTGGATTGGGCACTTGTTTTGGTTTCTGAACTAGTGTCGATCGGGTTATCGGATTCTTCTTTGGATTGAGATTCGACACTTTCAACTCGAAAACCAACTCGACCACCACCCATTCGCATCCTTTGAGAAACCGCTCGTCCTAAACCGATGGCTTGTTCTCCTACTTTCTTTCCAATCTGAGCGTATCCTTCACCAGGTAATAAACCAGATCGACCGATCAAAGTGTCATCATCATAATCTGAATGATCACCTAAATCACTCGAATCATCTTTCCTTGTAGCACTCATTTCTGAACTCATCTCTCGTCGAGTGGCGGGTGAGAGTCTGGAGTTTTCTTCAGCTTCATCAGCTTCTCGACTCTTTTGTTCATACCTTTCTTTAAGTTTAATGATTTCCTTTGATTGTTTTTCCCATTGAATTAAAATACTTTCGACTTGATTAAAACTAGCCGTCACTCTTGCTTCATGTTCGATCGACCAAGATTCGAAAGGACCGATAACCAATCTATCAAGTTGATGAGATAATTTCGTATGAGCATCTGAAAGATCGATTTGACTTGATCTTAATTGATGAAAAGCTGATAAGAATGAAGCTCCATCATCGTAACCAAACCCATTTGGATGAAGTGGTTCTGAGATCGATTGACGTAAATCGTGTGCATAGGTCCTCTCATATAATGCTCGTTTTCTTACAAATCCGATCAGTTCGTCAGATTCACGTAAACCAGCTTTAAGTTTATCGAACAGAACAGTGACACCACGACGATAATCAGATGTCCAAAACTAGATCGAAAATGAGAAATCAAACATGAGTGTTTATGTTTAAGATAGGATGAACTATCAATGTCATACTAACCCAACGATCGAAAGTAGGTGGAATCTTAGGTTGAGGTAGGTTTATAGGATTAGGTTTATCAGGAGTCAGTCCAGCTTGAGAGGTTTCTTGAGACATGATAGTTAGATAGAATGAAGATAGTTTGATTATTCTGAGTTGAAGAACCAATTCGATTTTACCGAACAGCCTCTCGAGAGTCGAGACTCGATTCGGTGATCTTGGAAGTCACACTCACAAGATTGAGTTCCAGCGCGCATGTACCTCATGAGGCACGCAACAAATGCGCACATGGTCCATCCACGCCCGGGACCATGTGGTCCACAGGCCACGATCATATTCACAAATCGCAACTTCATCAAGCCATCAGAACACCACAATGTGGAACAGATGAATGATATTAGAAGAATGGGATGATGAAAGTAAGATGACTTCTTACCGAGCTGCGCAAGAAATTATTGTTTTATAACCCTCAACATGCAAGACCTTTCTCCTTCCCTCGTTCAAATATATCCTGATCATTTAAATGTCATCTTTAGATTTATCATTCAAACCATCCTTCAACTATCAACGATCATAGTTGAATTATTTGGTCTGAATTGATTCTTCTTTTTATTCCTGGAAATCGTACTTACCTAGAATTCACTTATTGAACTCCTTGAATTGATCTAATTCCTATTGTTGCTTTTCCTCCCTTGACAAACATCATCGATTGAACTTCTGAGCATTTCAACTGCTCCCAATTCCATAGGGCCAACACCTTACGAGTCTAGCACCCCCGTCGCAATTGTTTTGTAGAACAAATCGTGATATTCAACTTGATATTTGTAATTCCTAACATTCCTATCGACTATTTCCAAGCAGTGTAAGCGTTTAACGAGTTTCTTCACTCTCTCTAGACCAACACGTTACGAATCCGACATCTTATTGGCATTCATTTGGTGCGACAAACAGGCACAAATAAATCTCCCACTTCTATAGTAGACCAACCAGCTAAAAGTCTGAACATGTTTGAAACATTAATTGTAGAAGCGCATAGTGAGCATCTAAATTCATTCCAGTTTTAAATAAATAGTATAACTTGATTGTGATCATTCATAACAACAATCCATAACCGTAGAACAAAGCCCTAAATTGCTATGATGACTATGGAAGATTGTACAAAGATATCAGTAGTCTCTGGCAGCAAAAGAATTCCTACTGACACCATGTCATGAGTATCCTTGTAGCACGTCGAGGTGCACACACAGAGGGTTTGGAGACAAATTTGAAAGTCTTTTGGTTGGAACTAGACTGAGATTTTCGTTGATCCCCCTTTGTGTGTGAATGAACATTTGGTGATATGATTTGTGGGATCCTGTGTCAGCAGCTAGAGTCAACTGAGTGTGGATGTCTCAATTTACAAGGGGAAGACATACAGAGGAGATGTCTTTGAAGGGTCTTTTGAGTGTTTATCAAAAGTGCTTTGTGTGTGCACATAAATGTGCTACAAGGATACATATAGCTTCAATCAAGTGACAGGATGCTAACACAAACAATGCAGGCCAACACGGACATGTAGTGGACATGTTGGTTGTAGGTGATGCAAACAATGAAACAACAGCAGCACCAATGGTCAATTCTCTTCAATCAAGAAACCTGGTACACTTCTTTCCCCATTGCATTACAATACGTCTATATCCTAACGTGCTCAATTGTATCATTCAGACCCTCCAGATGAATCAGCACCAGATCAACCTGGCCAAAGTGATAAATTCTTAGCCAGTAAAGGTCACAAGGATGTTAACCCACTTTTCAACCCAAGAAATCCTCCACATTGAGAAAACAACCGTCTAGATGCAGTCTGACCAAACAAACCAACACCAAAAAGAACTCTTGGACCATTTTGTATGTAATCCGGTGGTATTTCAAGTCTATTCCAAAAAGGAACCAGTCACTTTGACATCAGTGAGAATTCTAGCCCTCCAAGTAAAGTGGAAGATACCATGTCAAACCAGGAAGCACAAAATTCTCACTTTGTGCACAGTGTTTTTCCACAATAACAAAGTTGATTAATTTTTTGGATTACATTTGGGCCATGTGTTCTGCCGTTTTAGATATGATTGTTCACTTTCAAGTCTCCTTATGTTTACCAAGTCAAGGGTCTCAAGACCATCTGGACAAGAAGAAAATACCACAAACAATGCCAATGCCAAAACAGAAAACCCCCATGCAAAGTTGGATTAATTGTGAAAGCAGGTGTGACTCTGCTGCGGTCTACATTCTGAGGTCAAGGTTGAAGGAAAGAAGTGTTCAAATATGAATAGTTTTCCAACATTGGTCAATCCCAATAACAGGACCAAGGATATGTACACCATGAATCTTGACCTGACTATTTGAAGGGAGACAAGAACAAGATTGATTGTTAAGATAGAAGGAAACATTCCAATTCAAAAAGCCTTGAAGGATAGTCACGCAAAGACCAGACCAGGAACTATGAAATGCAGCAAATCATGAACTGACCTGAACTTTGGAGGGAATTCAAGACAGGATTGACTTAATGACATAGATAATAATTTTTTGGTACTTAGCTTAATCAAACCACATGGGACCTATGATACCAAGAACTTATACCAGATGGATGGGTAGTTAAGGCTCAGAATGAGGATATTGGGGGCTGAGGCAAAGGTAGTGTGGCTTGCTTTTTAAGCAACCAACCTTTTCCATTATTATTAGAGTAGATATCTTCCCACAGCTTCAATCAACACCTGATGAGTCCCACCACAAAAACTCAAAGCAGGGCAACAGCAGAGCAGGTTGCTCTTTCTGTGCCAAGGTGCTAGCCAAAAAGGAGGTCTAAGTGCTCTGCCTGTGCTACTGGCTTCTCTAATCTCATATAACAGAGCATGGTTTTAGTGGGAGATTGCATGTGCTCTCAAGTTTGGTTGATGATATGCAGTCAATCTACAAAAACTTGACCAATTTTTCCGGTCAAACTCAAGCAAAATGGTGGGGAATTTGTGACAAGCTTTGCTGAAATCACTGTATGCATTAAGGCAATCTGATAGATGCTGACAAATTTCAGAACATGCCCTGTTTTATAGTGGTTGATATTCTACCACACATGACCAAATAAGTTTAAACATTATTGATTCCGCTGATCTATCCCTGGATCTTTGTTTTACCTTACATGCTTCATGGGTCTGTTCATGCCTTCTCAATTTTGTATCTACCTCTTCCTGTATATCTATTGAATAAAATTATAGACAGATTCTGGAATACATTCCCTGTTCAAATCTGAAGACCAAAAAATTTTAGGGTGGGGCGCAAGAGGTGCAAGTTTGTCTCATAAGTGGAGCATGAGTGGGTGTCAGGCATAGCAGGCTTACACTTGGTTACAAAGAAAAAAAGAAGCGGATCAAAGGAGAGGGATTCAGGTGTTGTTTCAATGGTGTTTTTTTAGCACACCAAATATTACTTTTTTTTCTTTCAGTCAAGTATTGTATGTATGAAAAGCCCCATGTCATATCTTGTTGAAACATCACATCTTGAATTCATCAGGATACACAGCCGGTAGACTCCTTGCGGGGCACCACTTTTTTTCAGTAATGAAAGCAATCTCAATTCATGAGACTTTTCAGATAGTCGTATCATAATTTTTGTACAATTCCAAGGCAGTGCGCCTGAACTTGTTCAGCAATTTGTGTATCACTTTTTAGATTCAGATAGATTATTTGTGATATCGAAAGCCTTATCTTATATAATTTTTTGGAGCAGTGCATCAATAAAACCAAATACAAAGTTTAAGAGAGAGATGTGTGAGAAAATGTTCCAAGAGGAATTTTGATCAAAGGCCACCATATAAAATGAGTGCATTCCTCCCACTGAAAAAGGATGGTAGCTGCTTGTGCTCAACTTGGCTTCCCCTCAACACATTTTGAATCATTTGAAAAGATTTATCTTTTGTTTTAATCAATATGATCAAAATATTGTTCTTCACTTTACTCCACCTATCCATCACTCTTTCAAGGATGAATCCTCTGCATCTGACTGATGAGCAAATCTGCACAGGTGAGTTCTGAGATGGTGTTGGAAATCTCAAGTGATTCAACAGCTTATTGTGGGTTCTGTGTAGCGGAGCTGGCACAACCTGCTGCTAATGTTGTTAAAAATTTTGCAAAGATTGTCATGGGTGCTGCACAGGAAGCTTCTGATAAACTGAGCCCTATCATGCATCCGGATGTAGATATCAGGCACAATGGGGAAAAAATTCATGCTGAGGGTGAGTTTTTCTACAATTTTTTAAAAAAAAAGATAAAATTCCCCTTGTGATGGTATCTTTTGTAAGCTGATTGCATACATATTGCATTTGTGGGTATAAATCCTAATGGCTAGATTTTAAGCAGTTGGCACAACGTGGCTACTACGTAGCCCCTAACCAGGAGGTCCTCAATGGATTGATACGAAGCCAAGGTAAGCCTGGAATAGATGCTTGTATTGTCATCAAAATGGTTAAAGAGTGGTTTGATATTATTTTTTCCAACATAGAGATATTCAGGACGCCTAGGGCCCATGTGGTGAGATGGCAGTATGAGACATATTTTGCTATGATCACATTTGAAAGAACAGAGAGCAAGATTTGTAATGTGGATCTACAAATTCAGTAAGTGTTTTTCTGCATCAAAGTGTATGCACCATTTTGCATGTAAGTCTGACTGATTGTGAAATCACCAAAATTATAAATTGTTTGAAGCCCAAACTATAGTATACTACACAGACCTCTGAGATGACAAATACTTGGGAAAACTGATACCCTTCAATACAAGATTTTTTTCTTGGTCATGATCATATGCTTGGTTTCACATGTACACAAAAAGGATTTGATGAAAAAGAATAGTTGCAGAATTGATACTTTTTGTCAAAAAAAAAATGGTTTGTTGAATTTGAATATACAATTGAATAAGAAAATGCACAAGACTAGCATGAGCCTTGGTTAACTATGTTCTTGTTGGTTCATCAACACTTGCGGGTAATTTTCCCTGACTTTCAAATCAGTTTTGGGCTTCTATTTTTCTTTTGCTTTTTTGAGTAAAACTTTATCATACCATTCTTGTCTGTTGGAAGTCTTGCAAATATTCTTGTATTTCTTACCTTTTGTGTATTGTGATCTACTCACAATCTTTGGGACAAGGATGGGTAGAAAGTAAATTGACAAATCCATTGTTAGGAAGCCACAACGCCTTTGTATAGATAAGCATCATACACTGAGGATTAAACAAGGAAACTATGAGAAGATGGTACTACTACAACAAGAGGTGATCTATGATGGCCATGATACAAGATAGGTGGAGTCATATTCCAATAACTGTAGAGCGTGTGAAAGACTTGGATACACATTACATGTCACAGCTAAGGATTGTACTTTAGAAGTCCATGTGATATCTATTGTACATACCCTCATCCAACAATCTAATTATAGGACCAGAACCAACACTTGACCACATCTCACCCTTTTTTCCAAATCCCCAGTGCTGGTCTGAACAAGTGGAGGAGAGATATGTCTCAACCTGGTACTGCTGGATTCAGTCAACAGGAAATATCTGTTTCACAGCAATTAAAAAAACAGATGAGAGAACAGGATGTGATTCCTTGACTTGAAGCTGCATTTGAAGGGGGAGAGGGGCCAAAACAGTTTTTGGAGGGTTTTTGTCTTTGATCAAATGAAGTTGCTGAACACCAGTGTTTTTGTCAAAAATTAAAACAGTTTTGACCCAAAGATGGCTTTTGGCTTTGGTGGTGTTTTTGACCAAAAACTGTTTTTTGGTTCCAGCCAAAAGACCCCAAGCCTTTTATTTTCTTTGATTGCCAGATCTCCAGGGTCCTGTTGTGGAAATGGACTTCAGTTTGATTATGCTATTCAGATCTTGAACAGGTGAGACTCGCAATGGGAAGTGTTCATAAATAGTAGTCTTTACTTTCACTCCCTTACTGACCCTACAAATCATCAGTTTTTGATCAACTTGGGTTGGACAGATGACATACCAGCTGCGGACTTTGTGTACCTGCAAAGAATCAGGAATTTTTGTAAGTACAAGAATGAGAGATGCTACCAAATTGTTTTGGTAAAGATCTGTCAAAATATGACTTGGTACTCTTACTTGAAAAAAGTAGCAATCCAGGGTCATCAGACCAGATGGCTAAATTCCACATCATTTTCTTGTGTGAAGCAATGTGAAATCAGATGCAATTCTGGATTACTCTATCTTGACTGAATTCTATCAATCTATCTTGACATACCACAGCATTCTTCTGATTGTCAGCAAATCACGGTAAAGATATTTGACGCAGCTGAACGCCTGCTTCAGCAAACACAGCAGCTGTACCAATATCCATGCTATAGCTAAATGAATAAACGACTTCTCTAACTCCACATTGTACAATCTTCACACTGCATCGTAGGCAAGGACATCTGTGTTTTTATCATCAATGGCAGATTGCGAGTCGTCAGTCTATCACGCGCGTTCAGGTTATCCGAGTTGTGAAGCTAAAAAGGTATCATAGATGGGAATGGAGTATGACATATGTCAAACTTACGTGTTACAATACAAAGTACTTCCTTCTCCTGCACCCATTCGATCTCTACCAGCCTCTAGTAATGCGTTCTCTTCTGCATGTAAACATAAACATTCATTGAGATCCGTTCCACATTTTGAAACTACCTCGGCGGCGGTTCCCACTTTGAGGTCGGAATTTCTAGACGATTGAGGGTTGGCTGATCCTAAAGTTCCATTACATCTCGCACACCCGCCCTCATTGCAATTTGCTAATTTCAAAAGAGAAACACTCTTACAATCAGCAAAGCAGTTGATCGATAGATTCCCAAATGAGCTATCAAGGCTCAACTCATTCCTCTTGGTGTACCATTGTAACCAGTACTTAACACCCTTTTATCTCTCTTGGTAATCAAGACAGCGCCTACTCTGCGTTTCATACAATTACTTCTTAAACTAGCCAAATTGGCCAAAGTCATGAAATATTGATCCCAATCTGGTCTAAGGCCTTTTCGAAGTTTTTGTAGATGAGTTCGATCGATTGAAGTTAAGAGATCATTTAAAGATGAGTTGTTGAGGATTGTATAAGTTGCGAAAGGGATGATCGATTTCAATGGTGTTCTCATGGATTCCTGGTTGATATTTGAGCTGTGATCGGGAGGATGGTTCTGTGAGACGTTGATCGGGATACCTAAACGCGTGATACCGATGCCTAAATCCGCCACTGCATCATCTTCACCGTCTCGCCTTATTCCGTACTCGAAGACTTCATCTTGCAAAACGAATTCCTCAAGACTAGATGGCCCAGCTGCCCTGGACAAACCAAAGGAATGCCATCAGTACTAGTCAAATATTGTTGATGTTGCTTGATAGTGTCATATGGTAGCTTACAGAGTCTTCGTTGATGTTGATCGGCTTTGATATAATCTTTCCCATCTTAACCGTGTTGGTGCTTCGACATTGACTAAGACGAAGAAAGGTCGCTTGAGAAACTTTTCGATTTCGATTTTTGATTGAAGGTCTGTTGTAACAAAGTCATGAGACCAATGTTTAGTTGAGTAATCTAGAAATCCATCGTGATCGGTAAAACGTAATTTATCAGATGTCGACTGGTTCATATCAATCCCGTCAGATCTTGAAGTTGTGATTCGAACTTCCTTGAAAGCATGTTGAGTGACTAAATGTTGAGCAATCGTATCTTTACCAGCATATCGCGAGCCAATCAAAGCAATCAGCATGGTTGGACGATGGAAATACCCAAAGGCACAACGGTACCATCGATTTCCACAAATATGCGTATAAATATCTAGATGGGAAGTCACGTGATATCCCTCTATTGAGGGACGCCTGTATGTGGGTGACCCAGTGGGTCACATCTGGTCACATAGAATCAGGGTCCAAAGCTCAAGCAAAAAAAATCTTTCTGATTGACTGCTAGAGAGTATCAACGCTTTTTGCCTATCCTCAGATATCTCATAGCATATTTTTCACCTCATATCATCACTACCAGGCAATTGGCGCCCAGCCGCGGCACAGCCACGAGTCAAGGCAATGCAGCCATTGGAACACTGCTCTGAAAAAACAGACAGTTGCTTCTTCAGGCGCAATTGTGCAACAAAACATATGCTGATATGCACAAATGTACCTGGCAGATGTCAGCAATTAGCGGGTGGGCACGGAGTATCTACTTGCAACAGAACCAAAGCAAAATGTGTGCTACATCACAGCCCATCAAAGCAGCCTGGTGGTAAATCACTACAGATAAAGAAGGGACCTTGGCTCAAGTCACAGAAGGTTGAATTTTTTTAAGTGCTTAATGGCTTTAATTGAAAATAGCACTAACTAATTAACAAGTCAAAAACAAGAAAGACTAGTATACCTTGGAAAATTGGGAAGGTTGAATAAAGAGTGATATGTATGTCTTGAGTGGTGGGAGGACCCGGAACAGAAAAGAGCAAGGACCATTGAAGCAGGTGGGTGGTAATCTTTTTTTTTGTAAATTACTTTCCTTTATTATATGTAGGTAGATCTCACAGCCTCAAATTCTGTCACAAGGAATTTTTTGTTTATTTAAAACTGTCTCTTTTTATACTCTCACTGTTCAAAGTTGTTACCATATAACAAGATATCCCCACAGTCTTTGCCAAAGATGTCTAATCCTGGCAACATAGATCAGTTCAATGTGTCAGTGAACAGGACCAGTAATATGTTAAGAGGTGAAGAAGCCTCAGCAAAAGGTACTCAGTCAACTGACTGAACCCTGGAAGATGTCACCAAAACAATCAACAAATGAAATGATGCCACTAATCAGGCCAGCACAGCTGCAACTACTGGCTTGCAAGGACAGAAGGGGAAGAGCATCAGAGGGAAGAAGGGAACCACAATCAGCCATAATTTGCCATTGATGATTGAGTACCAGCCCTGCTCCAGGCAGTACAATGGCTCCATTGTTGCATATCAATCCTATGTCTCCAAACGCAGGATTCACATCATCCAATGTGCCTTCAATCAATCAAAAAGATCTGGGTGCAGGCTTACCCTTTGCTAACCAGCAATTCTATGGCTGCAGGAGCTCCAACAACTGAAGAAATATTCAGTACCCGTACGAGGCACAAGGGAGTTTGTGTTTGTCCATGTAGGTACCGACTCAGTACCAGATATTGGGCAACGGCAAGACTGTATCCTTCTGGGTCAGCACACAAGCTGATGACTCCTGCAAACCAGACAGATGACTCCTGCAAACCAGACAGATGACTAATCAGCTTAGAAGTGATCAGGAACCATGGGCTTGGTTCATCCTCAGGGCAGAGACAGTTGAGACCTAGAGGCTGAAACATATATCAATTGAGTTGGGTGAGTTCCCAACTTACCCTCTCCTTGATCAGTTCCAGTTCCTCCTTCACATCCTCCTCAGGATACGTGACCAACAACTCCTTTCCCCACTTTCTCTTAGCTCGATCATCTCACAACTTTTTCATTCCTCCCACCCTCCCTACTTTGCCTTTTTGGCTTGTTTGTGTTTTTGTTTTCTTTTTTGTGTGTTTTTTCCTAGGTCAGTGACACCCAAGTTTGAGGTGTATCACTAAACCCCTTCTTGTGTGTCTTCCTTGAACTAGGCTGGTGGCCTTTGCTTTCCCCCTCCCTGACTATCTCCAGACGCCCGCTTGTAAAGAGCTAACTCCTAACACGGTTTTTGTCACAATGTCATCAGGGGAAAGACAAAGACGCCTCTCCCCCACACCCCATACTTATGTATGGCACACATGCATTTAGCACTAGAAACACATGATTTGAAATGAACACATAACAGATCTGTTGAGTTAATGGTGCCACCCAATGCGCCAGTTGTACATTCATATGCAAGATTCCAGAAGCTAAGTAAAACTGACCATCACAAATGGAACACAAAAGGAGATAGAGAAGGTCAAATCCCACCCTTGGAGAAGAGCCCTTTAGAAGAGCAAACACTTACGGTTAGTGGCAACAAACCTGGAGGATCTGCAAACCACCTGGTCCCAAAATCAGCTCAAATTTGGCTGGTCCTACTCTGTTGATTTCTAAAGAGGTTATAAATGGTCAGTTGGCTGGTGACACATCATGTGAGCCATCAACCTCACTTCTTGCCAAGAGAAATGCTGCAACAGCAAAGCCACCCCTCTGTGATGCCACCTACATGTGATGACTCAGTTGAGAAGTGTCTTGTTATTTATCTTGTGTGTAGTACACTGACATAACTTTGGTTATCTTTGGTTGGATTGCCTAGTGCTACATTTGTCCCCTTGGTTGGCCGCGCCTATAACAGGAACAAACAGAATACTTGCCTGGATTGATGAGTGCTCACCTTCAGGTCCTGGTTGAACCCAAAAGGCTTTGATCTAATGCCGGAAGTGTGAAGGGCCAGGTCAACACCTTGTGGCCACTCAACAACAACAAACCAGTGATGGTCTTGTCATGAAAGCTTTACAACCAGCCCTGCCCTCCCAGTTTGTGTCAATGACTGAGAATAACCCAAATGTGGACAAAATTGTTTGGTAGCAAATTGCCACTCCTTCCAAACTTGTAATCCCAGTCACAGAAGACCCACCTACTGTCAGCACTAAGACAACATCCAGTGTGGTTTTCAAGCTTAGTGATTGGGGTATAGAAGCTCATGTTCTAGTGGTGCTATCCAAATACTTTGCAGCTAAGATGGTGGCCCTTGATTTGTATATCCTCCTTGCAGTGTTCAATACACAATGGTTACGACAGGATCTTGTGAATGTTTTGGAGCCTGAAAACAAGGGTCTGATATAAAGCACTTTGGCTTTGATAAGCTACTGACTCAACCAACATGATCTAGTAAAAGGCTTCTGACCTGTGAGAAGGTTCAGAATAGTGATGTAGAACGAGTTAGTTGAAGTTATCTTAAGCTTCAATAACTGATCTTCGGAGTAGCACAAGAGACAAGACTATAAGATAAAATGAAAACATAAGAAACAAAATATAGAGAAAATATTGTTAATGATATAACGGTCAATAAGTGAAATAGTGAAATTTACGTACTTCTCTTCCCAAAGATGGGGAAAAGAGAAGTACAATGAGAGAGGATTTTAGTATATAAGGAATGAAATGTTTGATTTGATTAATTGGGGTAATGTTAATGATCTTCTTTCTTCTCGTCTAAGATTGAATCTTCTTGTTGTTCTTCTGGGATTGCGAATCGTTTGCGGTTAGGTATTTGCTTGTTATGTACATAGCTGAGTGCGTCGATTGGAGTTTTCAACAGATCTGCTCCAGCAGTCACTTTGAAAGAGAAAAGGAAACCTCTAGTATAGGCTTGACTGTCCTGTTGGAGTGGACCTTTGTCGAATGAGTGGTTGCTTTGGACCTATTTGTCACCTACCTGGAGTACTACAAAAGCAATGAGTTAGCAATGAAGTTTGAGGCTCATAAATAATATACAAGACCTCTCACAGGATTTGTTCCCCTCAGATAGGTAGATGTAGAGAGAGTGGACAGTGTAATGGTATTTGCAAATTGCATTGAAACCTTCCAATCAGGAAGGATTACGTCAAAAGATTGTCGGGGGTTCAAGGACACAAAAATAGCGCGCCCATTTGTCCTCCTGAGACAGGTAGATAAGGAGAGATGAAGGATTACATCGAAGAATTGTCGCGGGTTTGAGGACACAAAAATATCCGCCCAACGAGGGGCTCGAACCCTCGACAATTCGATGCCGATCTTGGAACTCTGATAAGAGTCGAATGCTCTACCAACTGAGCTAGCCGGGCTACGGGATTTTACGTACTTGCGCGGTTCAGTACCGGCCCGGCGTGATGCCCCGTGGCACAAGGCCATTGAATTGAGACCCGCCAAAGTATTTGCTTGTAGGTGTAGGTAACTTGCTTATTTACTCATTGGAATATTGGGAAATAGGGACTTCGAGTATTGGATGTTTAGTAATTGTCGGGTCCAGGTTTGAATTGCTATTTTACCTTTGGTAAAATGACATCACTCCTGTTTACCATCAAAATTCCATCCATTACTCGTTGACCACTTTTATCAAGTTTCCTCTTTCCTCATTATATTGTCAAATTACAACCATCAACAGGAAGTATTTTTTAAAAAAAGAATAGAAGGTTTTTTCTAAAAAGTATTCATTAGCAGAAAAAAGTTATCAAATTTTCAGACATTTTAGTGGTATTTTTTGGAGCTGTTGACCGTAGTTTTTTGGAAATCAGTTTTTGGAGGTTCCATCTTTGACTGATATAGATTAAGTCAAGTGATGATGTCCTTTATGACAAAGCTGCTACTGTTGCAGCCAAGATTGATGAGCTTCGAGAATCATATCTCTCATCCAATGGCTCAAACAACACGACAATGTTGGAGCTTAGAAACCAGTTTGCGAAGATCCTCTCTTATTCTTCAAAAAACTGGTACCGAAACTGGTCAGAATTCACATATGACTTGGTTAGAAAGGACAGTGCTGCTAAAAGACCGATTTTCGCGAACCAATGAGATAGACCTACGTCTACTCCAAGATCAGACCAAGATAGATTATACATCTTTGCTCCTCCAACGAACCCGGTTTATCCTCCCGACCTTTCAAGACAGGTATCACTGGCTGGGAAAGGGAATTCTGGAGTTCAGCATCCCACAAACTCTGGTGATCAAGTCCAAGGAACTTCTGGTGATCGTCCGCCTTCTCAGTCAGGTGTGCTTTCAGTCGAAGACAGGATGGCTGTCCTATCCAAGAAAA